CTAATCTGTTGTAACATTCCAAGGCTTGTAATCAAATAGTATTTCTGATTTAAAAAATGATACTTTTCAGTAATGTGTTTTAAATGTAAAATGTATTATTGATAATTAAAAATATTCAAACATTTTAAAACAACAGTAATATCCCTATTGAACAAAATCGTCATTTATAAAGTAAATTACAGTATACGTGTGAGTAGAAGCTTTAGATTTACATATTAAAATTTCGTTACTAAAACACTATTCTGATATTGGACAAAATCGATTAAAATGTTATCTGTTTTAAAAAATATGAAATTCGCAAGAGCTTTCCCTTTTATTCGTGAATCGAATGCGCTATCTACAAACTGGTTGCTGTAAATACCACCCCACAACCACCACGTCAACATTTGCAGAAGATAGGCTGACTTTGTTTAGGGTTACGCCCCTTTTTACACTAAAATTATGTTTTTACAAAGGTAGCTTGTCTCTAGACAATCTGACTGCTCACGTCGCAAACCTTAGGACAACTTTAGCCTGCCGGAATATAACACAGTACATTTTTCTAAAGATATTGTTTACTAATAACGTAGCAATGTCTATGAAAACCAAGACACACTACAGCAGTAAATGCAAATACACTAAAAAAAACGGAGTTGTTACTCTATATTGCGATTGTAAACTTAACTTAAACGGGCAGAAAATACATTCTGATCAATGTGCACCGAAAAAGAGTACACCAAATAATGGTAAGCCACTGCTTAGAATAAAATGCTTTTGCATGGTTAGTGGAGGTGGAGCCGAAGGGGATCCACTACGACAAAACCAACAACAAGGCGCAAGTAGAGACCGAGGGTCCAATACTGATAAAAACAAACTATCAAAATAATTATACGGTGAGTTTTTAGTCGAGTTTATATTTTATAAATAATAATGATAATAATGTCGATAACAATAATGATAACAATACAAAATAAGTATGATGATGACGATCATTTTGTATATAAGTATTGTGTTATGTTTTAGGGAACAATTAACAAGTATTTCTTATTTCGATTTAGATTTACAACTAGGAGTTAATAATTAAACTAAGAGGCTTAGTCCTTACTATATTCAAGATGAATGATATAACTGTAAATTAACTGACCTTAAAACATTCGTCATTTTGTCATAAAGAGACGGAGTGTAAAGCCAAGAAACAACTCATCTATTATCATTAAGTGTTTAGAAGGCTGAACATATTTGGTTAAAAAAATAGGATAACTGACAAAAAAAACTAAAAGGCATAGGCCTACATGAATTAAAAAATCGTTAAAAATATTAGTAAGATTACAGCAGTCGTAAAAGTTATTGTTTAGAAATTTGTAATAAAGGTTTGTAGCAATTTAAAGTAACACATAGTTAAATTTTGCTCTATATAGATGTCTAAACCTGAAAAGGACTTGGCAATATATTGTATTTAGAGGTGTTTATAGTTATTGGTAATCTATTTCTCGTTCGGTTTGTTTTTTATTACTTTAATATGTGTAGTCGAAAACCATCAAGAATTTGGCACAACATACCTTCAATATCCAATTAATTAGATTCATAAGGGTCTATTCGTTAAAACAATTGTCATTGTCCATGGTAACATTACATATGTAAATTTTTGGGTATTACCCAAATACTTGGATAAAATAATATTTCAACAATAAATTATGATTTACATATAGTAATTTGCTTTCAGATGCATCATGTTTATATCTAATTACTTTAGTTGTTTGCTTTACTATTTGTTGAGGCACAGCCAAAATACTTTTTCTTCAATACACAAGGTTTCAAGAATAATATTTACTGTGGTTGTTAATCAATGCTTACCGTTCTTTAATTTGAGCCGAATATTTGTACACATTACGCAACTTTGTCAAAAATGGTCAATATAGATTATTATATAGTGGTATTTTTAATATAATTTTGAAGGCAGCAAGTAAATATTATTTTCATGGAATAACAAATACAGAATTAATCTAAACATTAGTAGGCGTCAACACATAACACGCAAGTCAATATTACAACAATTTCGGACTTTAGAGCTAAACCAGGTATTGGTGAGAGCTTCAATCAAGCATTTTAAATACTATTTACGTAGAAAATAACTTTAATTACAATTTTAAAATATAAAAACAATCTCATGAGTTATCAATCCAAATTCGTTATTTAGTTAAGGCCCTTGTATTCCTTGTATTTGAAATTTGAGAAACATGCTACCAGGACTGGATTTTCCCACTAAGTTATTTTGCATATTTTGAAAGGCATGGAAATCAACACGTATTGAAAGTCTACTTGGGTGGCAAAAATGAGTCTTTCAAATCAATGGGACACTCACGTGGTCTCTTACGGCGTGCCACGTCATCGTTACCACATATTTCGCAAGAAAACTTAATTAAAAAAAATTGATAACACTATTTTAAAGTTAGAAGCATTTAATAAAATGAAGTTGATGGTTTAAAATAAATTTAGGTCAATAAACTTGATATAATTATTCCTTTAGATATAACTATATTCAGCTAATTAAAAAAAATCGTTAACGCCGAGAAATTAATCCTATGACAAAGAATGGAAAAAGTGGATGTTTTAGGAAAGATCTTCACATTAAACTTTGCTTATATATTAAGTATTTCAAAAACTTGTGAGTATTCTCAAATATATATATATATTGTAATTATCTGAGAGGCATGCCCATTTTTACTTTAAAAGATTTACTTTATTTTTGTAAATAACTCACTTCTGACTAATCAAGTTACTCATGCATAAACCCCAATGCTACATGAGACATTATATCATGATATGCGTTCATAAACTAAAGATGTAACAATTATTACAACAATTGTAATAATTAATATAACAAGCGTTTAGATTTATTAAAATACAAAGCAATATTACATTCTCAATTACTATTACTATGTACAGTAGTAAAAACAATTACAATTTACTTACAATATAACATGTTCACATGATTACAAAAAGACAAAATAAATGAATGACAAAATGAAAACATGTGGCTTATGAGAAATAATGTCAGCTGAATCTATGAATTTTTCCTTACGTTTTATGAAAACTTGTAAATATTTCCTTACAGGTTGAATGGCATCAACTGGTTGATTAGGAGAATTTGTCTGAAAGAAAAAATGAGGATCATCATTAGCAATTTAGCACGTTGACGCTGCAGGTTATTGATTATTCTCCTACCTTTGACTTTAAAACTAGACACAATTATTGTTAACTGGGGTGGCGGATAATTTTTAATTCGTTCTGTATATTTTCGCTTCTAAAATTGAATTAGAATGTAATACTAACTTTTGCGGTATAGGAAGATTGATTTGCGATAATAGATTTTTTACATACATTATAAATAAAATATACATTTTGTAATTATATGACTAACTAAGAGGCTGAAGTATATTCTAACACATGTTGGAAAACTATAATTTGAGTCTAGATTTATACCATATTGCTATTCATTACTTCACTATTTTTAAGGTGGATCATACAATCTATAAAATTAACTGTTTTTAAATATTTACGTTTTGAAATATGCCAATTTTGTGAGGCATTAAGTGTTAAACTTTACTTGCTTTTAAACTTTTAAAACTTTTTAAAATAAGAGTGAAAATAAATCGAGATTTTAATCTCCCCAGAGTAGTTAGAGTAACATCAAAAGTTTTTAAAACTTATAGAAATCTCTTTTTAGATATTGTAATTTTGCGTTACTTATGGTGATTGAATATGCATTTTAATATTGTTGTTAATTTACTAGTTGCGATTTGTGTTCTAAAATCTCCGATGTAGAGTTTATGCCATAGGAATAAAGTGTTAAACTTTACTTGCTTTTAAACTTTTAAAACTTTTAAAAATAAGAGTGAAAATAAATCGAGATTTTAATCTCCCCAGAGTAGTTAGAGTAACATCAAAAGTTTTTAAAACTTATAGAAATCTCTTTTTAGATATTGTAATTTTGCGTTACTTATGGTGATTGAATATGCATTTTAATATTGTTGTTAATTTACTAGTTGCGGTTTGTGTTCTAAAATCTGCGATGTAGAGTTTATGCCATCGGAATAATGAATGTGACAGGAAATGTTTAATAATATTTAAAAATGGCCATAATGCATTTTGAAATATCCATATTTAAATATAAAAAAAGCAAACTATGGATTAAAAATATTCAACACTGACCATGTGACAAAATTACTCTTTCCGATGTAAATTTTTGGTTTTAATTTAATATAATGTTAAAGGTATTTTCTGTATTACATTTAGAGCAGCATTTATACTTATAGTATAACATTATGATTGAATAAATGAGGGTAGATATACACAGTGAACTTGTAATGTACAATTTTTCTGAGCATTTTATGAACTAATAAAAACCATTCAACAACTTTAATAACGTTGTAAACACGACGTCACATTATTGATTATAGAAATCGAGTGTAGATATACTGACTGTAAGTGTTTTGTACAGTAGAAAGTTGAATAGATTATGATCCAACAATGTTATTAGGATTCAATAATAAAGTTTATGGTTTTCAATGGATTTAAGTCCACCTACTCAAAATAAATATTTATACGGTTCATTTAATATGTATTATTTAGCTAATTAATCAAACTTCGTTAAAAATATAAAATGTTTGTATTTCAGCAGTACTGTTCACAGACAATTTTACATTAACTAGAAATTTCCAATTTATAAATAGACATAGAAATTGCATACGTATTGCTCTTTACCAATTTAGTTATATACAAGTAATATTATTTATTTGAGTCACTTTTGGTATAAAGTTATAATAATAATATATAATATACAGCATAAGCTATAAAATAATAGTATTTTAAACACTTTTATTATTGTCCAGGAGAAAATGAAAAAATTGTCTGTCATGAACTCATTTTTATATCGACTACGTATGTGTTCGAATGGTAATGCGATTGCTGATTGGCCATCGCTTTCTCATTACATTCATACCGTGATATAAGGAACAGAAACTCAGATCACGCATCAAAGACAATTGGCCAAATCTAGTAAAATTAAAATCAATCATCTTGAACAATTCTTCCCCAATTCTTGTCAAAATCCGCATGCCGACAAGTCGACATAATAAAAGTTATGTTGTCATGACAAGATACAATTTGTATTATGTCGACTTGTCAAGATAATCTATCTCGCCATGACAACATACAATTTTTACTATGTCGACTTGCCAAGATAATCTATCTCGCCATGACAACATACAATTTTTACTATGTCGACTTGTCAAGGTACTGTATCTCTCCATGACAACATACAATTTTTACTATGTCGATTTGTCAAGATACTCTATCTCGCCATGACAACATACAATTTTTACTATGTCGACTTGTCAAGATAATCTATTTCGCCATGACAACATACAATTTTTACTATGTCGACTTGTCAAGATAATCTACCTCGCCATGACAACATACAATTTTTATTATGTCGACTTGTCAAGATAACCTATCTCGCTATGACATCATACAATTTGTATTATGTCGACTTGTCAAGATAACCTATCTTGCCATGACAACATACAACTTATATTATGTCGACTTGTCAAGATAATCTATCTCGCCATGACAACATACAATATGTATTATGTCGACTTGTCAAGATAATCTATCTCGCCATGACAACATAAAATTTTTAGTATGTGGACTTGTCAAGATAATCTATCTCGCCATGTCGACATGATATGTATATTATGTCGACCTGACAACATAATTATCTTGTCAAGTCGAATGGCACTAAGGTGCTTCCGTACCAAAAGCGGAGACCTAAAGACAGATTTTTTTTTTTAGCCGGAATGTAGTACCCAGCTATAGAACAGCTATCCTGCTCAGCATGGAGTAACGCCTACGCGTTCTCGTGCGAAGATCTGCAGGTCACCGAACCTTAAGGGGCCCCTTTGGTTCCTCTACCCATTAGGGTCCAGTAGGGCCCTCGCTCTATATACCATCCTGATCCAAAATGGCTTTGTTAATCCATAAAAGCATAATGTGTCTCTGACAGCGAATATATGACATATATCATTTTAATCCAGAGGGGATGGGGTGCCCAGCCGGCCAGGGCCACCCTATATATGTAAAAAAAAAATAGATAAAATATTCAAAATTTAAGTCTGAATGATTGCCATTTCCGGGCATCTAAAGATGCCATAATCATAATTTTGATTTGTGATTACCCAGTATAGAATAGATTATAGGTCCTTTGATCAGACCTTTCCGACCCCCGTGAGGGGAGGGTGTCTAAGGGAGAAGCAGCATACGGGAGGCATAACTCCCATCGGGAGGAAGTCATTAATTTTGTCAGAAACACTACTTTCAAAAGCATTTTCACCGTCAGAGATTGCCATTCCGAGAGTCTAGATGGGGGTATTCTTAAAATTTGCTCCAAGGGCCACCGATGCTTAGGGGCCTTTTCGGTGCCCGTACCCATATTGTCCAGTAGGGTCCTCGCTCTATAGAACCCTGAAAAAGTGAGATACAAAAGAGAGCAACAGTGGCGAATTCAAGAATGGAGGGGAAAGCCGGCCCGGGTCCCCCTTAAATTTTTCTAAATTAAAAAAAACTGAGAAAAAAGAAAATGACATTCACACAATGTCCAAACAACGGATGCTTAACAAGTAATGTTGATAACATAGACGAAAGCTCGCAGTAAGTTTACACCAAATTGCGATTGGTTTATTATTGATTAAACAGTTTTTCATACATTAGTTGTATCCTATATAAAATACATTCAACATAAAGCTACAATAAAATGCAAATATTTGACAAGTGAATATAATGGTAAAATTTTAAATTGGATTTAACAGGATGGGCAGAAATATATTTTGCAAACTAAACATTTTCCAACATCTTAAGGAATTATGAAGGCGATGTTGACAGTGTGACCATACTACTAATATAGGCCTAATATTCATATTAATAATACTCTAAATATTAATTATAGATAAAGCTGACTCAAATGGCACTTGAAATATATATAATACCAATAATAATAAAAAATAATGCACAACATAAGCTTTTAAATAATGATTATGTACTCATTTGTATACCGATTGGATGATAATGTATTCGAGTTTTTATGCAAATGCTGATTGGCCAACGCTTTCTCATTACATTGATATCGTGATATATAAGAAACTAAAATTTAGATCACGCATCAAAGAGTACCTACCTTTCTTTACCTGCTGATGTACGGTCTTTGAGAATCTAATAAAATTACAATAATTATGGGAAATTGGTCGAGTAGGCCTACATATTCAGGGAGTGGCCAATCATCGAAAGAAAAAGGCGGTTCGAAAGAGTCTAAAGATATCCTTCGAAACGAAGAGTTTACTAAAACACTTTCAGGAAAAAGAGGACCAAACAACCCAGATAACTAGGTAGGTTAACCAGATAACAGTTGTCTATTAATATGCTTGGCCTCTATACCCAGGAGGATTAGATTATAGAAGACTCTCTTGGAAAACAAGTAAACAAGTAAATAAGTTGAGTTATACGATATATGATAGACAGATTATAAAGGATAAAAGAACAGATTGAAGTTAAACAAATAATAAATGAAATGAATAACTCTAGCAAAATATCTACCATTAGAATATTAATTGTAATATGAAAATCATCTAATTTATTATTCTGCTTTACACTAAAGTGAGGGTATGAATAATAACACGAAAATGTAAATAAGTGGCTGAAGAAGAGCAAAAACTACTTGGAGTATGTATGATTAATTAATAAAAAGGTTTTGAAACAAATATTCATTTTTTCATTAAATAATTTTTTTTGATAGAAGTGTAGCATAATAATAGGTTATTTCATAATTTATTAATAGTAATCACATTATATAATATTTATACAATTTTTATTATTTAAACTACACTTATATCAATTTTGTATCATAAAATGTATTCCATTTGAATTAACAGATATTTGCAGGATGTGGAGCAGAATGAAAAGGGGCGCTCCTATATAAATGACACAAGTTTGGATGACCTAGGGAACCGTCTTCTGTCTTGGCATCATCCGATCTTTTGAGAGACTTAAAAGTCAAAAATAATATTAGATTAGCCTGAATATTATTCTCATCAATGATTCCACAAGTACAAATAACCCTCCTGATTATTTACCAACATCTGTATAATATTGATGAGTACATGATCATTATTTAAAAGCTTATGTTTTAGTTATTAGTTTTTATTATTATTGGTATTATATATATTTCAAGTGCCATTTGAGTCAGCTTTATCTATAATTAATATTTAGAGTATTATTAATATGAATATTAGGCCTATTGTATTAGTAGTATGGTCACACTGTCAACATCGCCTTCAATAATTCCTTAAGATGTTGGAAAATGTTTAGTTTGCAAAATATATATCTGCCCATCCTGTTAAATCCAATTAAAAATTTTACCATTATATTCACTTGTCAAATATTTGCATTTTATTGTAGTTTTATGTTGAATGTATTTTATATGGGATACAACTAATGTATGCAAAACTGTTTAATCAATAATAAACCAATCGCAATTTGGTGTAAACTTACTGCGAGCTTTCGTCTATGTTATCAACATTACTTGTTAAGCATCCGTTGTTTGGACATTGTGTGAATGTCATTTTCTTTTTTCTCAGTTTTTTTTAATTTAGAAAAATTTAAGGGGGACCCGGGCCGGCTTTCCCCTCCATTCTTGAATTCGCCACTGTTGCTCTCTTTTGTATCTCACTTTTTCAGGGTTCTATAGAGCGAGGACCCTACTGGACAATATGGGTACGGGCACCGAAAAGGCCCCTAAGCATCGGTGGCCCTTGGAGCAAATTTTAAGAATACCCCCATCTAGACTCTCGGAATGGCAATCTATTACTCACAAGATGTTTAGTCATATTACACCCATCCACCTCATCATGCAGGTGGAAATCCAGACAACAAGTTAAATAATGGGAGCATAAAACTTACGGCTAACGGTCGTTTTTATGTGCAACATCTAATCCATGGAATTCTCTTCCATTTGAAATTAAAACTTACTACATCAAGCATTACCAACAGAAAAGAATAAAAAAACGTATAATAATCAAAGAAAACAAATTCAACGGGAGCACCTTGTTTTGACTTTTGAATTAATTAGTTTTCAATATTCATTAATGAAAATGTCTACTCTGATTTGTCTTGGTTCTGCCTGTTGCCAAGCAGTGGACAGTGGCAGACCCGAAGGGACTAGCTGTCGGTGGCTCCAATTGTATTCCAGCATACTAACCTGTTGTCTTGCGATCACATGCATGTGTAGAGACACTACAATCTCTTAC